GTGCTATACTGCACCCTTGTTGAATCATTACTTCCTTGTAACCCTTCTGTGTGGGAGGGGGTCCAATTGTCTACAGATGGGTTTTGGTTCTCCACTTCAACCTTCCTCTTTCCCATCAATATAATTGTTTGTCTTAGATCTTTTGATACCTGATACCTTATTCCATCAACATGATCACACAGGCTGATGTGCTTCTTCCATGTGGATTTTGTTGCTTCCCTGCTAGATGGCTGCTTGTTTAACTTCAAGCTTTTAGGACCCCAAACTCTATATTTTTTGATAGCCAGGCACCATCTGCTTTCTTTACCACATTTGCTTATGCACCCATTTTTTCTTCAGTGATCATGTCAGGAAGGTGAGTATCAAAGAGTGCTGGATTGTTAGAGCAAAGTGTTCTTGTATTCAGGGGGCCTTGAGTAGAGGCCCAAGTCTGCCTGCTATCCTAATACTTAACATATAAATATATGTACACTGGGCTCTATACCTTTCATTATAAATTAATATATTTACATATATACATGCTTATAGCTAAACCTCTGTAAATAGCTGTTGCCGCCTACTTCTTTCCTCTATTTCCTTTCAACTTCCTCCTGGCCCACTATCATGCTCACTCTCCATTCAGCTCTCAGTAATTCCTCTTGGATGCATTGCAATTGATCAAACCCCACCAGGCATTATATGCCCTCCTCACCATCAATTTTAGGTCTCTTGTTGTTCCCTTATCCCTGAGTTTGTTGGCTCCCTGATCCCCCTTCCCGCCCCCTCCTCTCCCATGTCCCCCCTGGGACCAACCAGTCCTGTTGTTTTCTCTTTGGGATTGTTTGTCCTACCTATCTTATATAGCTAGACATAGGTTGAAAGAACGGAAGAAAGGAAGAAAGAAAGAAACCCAATGGATAGTTTGGATAGTTCCAGGTCTGTCTGCTGACACTTTGAGTGTTCTCCAATCAGGTCTAATGAGGTGCCAAGCCCTGTACCCTCCTCCCCCCAATCGAGTCGGAAGTCTATTTTCAGGATTTCTCTGGGAATTGGTTTCTTTGCTCCCTTTGCTGTTCTGTTGTAGTTCCTTCTTGTTTCACCCGGCTGTGTATGGGGCAGGCAAGGCACACTTTACACACAATATCTCCAGTACTGTCCCCTGTAGCACTCTGGGTCAGTGAGGGATCATTGAGGCCCTATGGTCCTCTATGGGCATTGGCTGCTCCAAGCATGAATGTCGTCCCTGGGGCTTGGTGGGTCAAGATGAGTTTCTCTCTCTCTCTTCCTTTTAGTTTGCACCCATATGTGCTCTGGTCAGACTCGCCACTCTCCCTGGGCTGTATCTTCAGTCCTGTCTTCTGTATTACCTTCTTCTGAGGAGGGGGTCAACATAGCTCAGATTGGACCTAGCCCTGTTGGCCTCTTCGTTAGTTCACTGCTCCGTGCCAGTATGTTGCCCTCGAGGCTTGGTGCTCAGGGATGGGTCTGGTCCCTCTCTCTCTTTCCTGTGGAGACATAAACAATACCCTCTCTGTGGGTGTGTTAGTGCCCTGTTCCCCCATCACCCTGAAAGAACTCTTGTGTAGCAGAGTTTCCCAGTGCCATATGATGTCTGGTTTCTGGAATGCCGCTTCCATGGGCATATATTCTGGATCCAAGTAAAATAAAATCTTTAACAACTTCATTCTCATATCATGTTGTAGTATAATCCATATTGAAGGCTATAGTCTTTCATTTTTATCAGTGAATGCTATTCATCTATTAGGCAAAGTGTAGTGACCTGAGAGCAGATTAAACATGATGGCAGTCATGGAAAGGGTGGGAGTATTCTTTGGAAGATGACTTCCAAAGTTGTAACCTTAACAACTGGTGACTAGTGATAAGGGGACTGATCCGAGGTGGAAGACAATGACCTTAAGTTTGAAGAAACACTATCCTGGAGATAAACAAATGGTGGTTTTCCATGAGATTGGAATTTAAGAGAAAAGATGGGGTTAAGAGATTTTGAAGGTGTCCTCTTGTAATTGTTGCCATTTTGCTTCCCAAACACTAATTATTCGACTATAACAAAGTGGTTCCAGTAGTCTTCATCATGAGACTACTCAAAAGATGTGCCCTTATAGTAACAGTTATTTGTTTCTCTCACAGCAGGAATTCCAGCCCCCATCTATTTTGGAGTTTTTATTGACACCTCATGCCTCAAATGGGGTTTAAAACGCTGTGGAAGTAGAGGGTCCTGTAGATTATATGATTCAAACACTTTCAGGTACCGTTTCAAACATGTTCCTCTCCCTCACTGCTATACTATTCCAGGTTTTCACAATGATGCTCACACTGTTCATTGTTCCTGTGGTTCCATAACTTGTAATAAATAAAAAAGCCTAATCCAATCGAAGGGTCAGCCTTATAGGATGCTATATTATATAGTTATTTGGATAGCACTTTGATTCAACACCCCTCCACACACACACATATTCATAAACTTTACTGCCATTTTAAATATGTAATCGTCAAAAGAAAATGACATAAAATTCCAGAAGAGAGTAGAATTTTAAAAGTTTATCCACACGAATGCATAAGGAATTTCCCAAAACTCAGAAGCATTTAAATTTAGGTCACACTTTTGGTTTAATTCTATTCTTTTTCAAACAGAGCCAAACTGTACCATTTACGTCAGGTATAATCCCCCTGGGCAAGAGTTGGATTTGGCTCTAACTCTGTCTGGATTTTATTGCCAAACTGATGTTCAATTATTCCAGTACTTGAAATGCATAAGAGTAAAAGGTTTCCTCTGTGTGTGTGTGTGAGTAGGGGTGGTGGGGGCACGGCTTTTCACCATGGAATCATTCAGTTCAATTCATCAAATATTTAGCGTCCTTAGTGATGAAAACTTCAATGACTTAAAAGTAAGGATTTTTCTTTTTAGACTTACAGGCTGATTATTTTCTAGAGAAATAAATTTGGTGTTGATTCATGTAAGTTGGATGGGAATTGAAAAGATGATCTCAAATAAGATTGAGTATTTTAACAGCCCTTGATGTTCTGTGAGAAATTTATTTTAGTCTTTGAAGGAGACCTGATCTGTAAGTATAATTTCTGGTTTACTCACATTTGCTAAGACTCCATTCACATCAACATAAAGCGAATATAACTCAATTGGAGGCTAAGAATGTGTTTACAGGGGGAACTGGAATGAATCTGTCAACCTGCCCTTCTATACTTAAGTGCTTCTGATAGATTGTATAACTAAAGGCTTCTTGTGGAAGAGACGGATTTAAATGTCTGCTTCATTAAGTCATTCTGGCCTCCTGAGAGCATTGATTCCTCTTAGCCTTGCTTCACTGCACTTTTTCTTTCGAAGTGAATCTGGTCAAAGTCTGAAGGAGGGAGGGTAACCGCATTATTCTTCACTTGAACTTGAACACTTTGCAGAGAGTGAAAACTGCACTATGAAAAGTTACATGGGGGATACAATAGCATAAACCAAGGCTGTTCTAGATTACTAGGAGTATGCTGTCTTCATCTAAGTGAACAATTTAGCAGAAGATGAAAATGATTAGGTAGTTAGTATTAATTTAAAATGTTGGTACTACTAAGATATTGCTTCATATTAACTAATGTTCTCCATTGTCTGTGCTCAAAGTAAAACCTTTTGTACTTGATGACTCTTCATTCTTAAAGAAAATGATCAAGCTATTGTTACCTTTTCTTTTCATTTCTATCTGGGGAGTTTTAATAATTATGACTGAGATTTCCCCCTCTTCTTCTAGACACATATATCTGGGACTAACTGTGATGCTGGGGACCATGTCCATCTTCTTAAGCATTGCACTGCTTTTTATTTTAAAGAAGAAATGCATCACAAAATATCAAAACCTTATAACCACGAGAGAAAGAGCAGCCATTGCCACAAGAAATGGGAAGGAAAATTGTACTACAAATGACCATTTGCTACATCCTAACGACTGTCCACAGAGGGAAACACAACTTTAGAAAAATGGTGACTTCAAACCATGTTTTCTAATCTCTGGAAATCCTGCCAACAAATATTAATCAGATGGATTCATTCTCCTTTCAAAAACTCTCCAGGTTGTTTTCAACCCTAGGTATATACTAGATAGAAAACCTGATAACAGATGAAGTTCAGCATGCTACAGAAGATACATGCTACAGAAGATGAAAATGTTGATAGCAAATGTACAAAACCTTTATAGTCCTTACTCGTGTTCTTTATTTTTACCTTGAACCCATTGATATGTTATCTATATTACTAATAAAGCAAATTTCCTCGCTGCTTAGTGGGCATGCTTAACATAATTTCTAAATAGGGATACTTGCCTAAGGTAAGAGAATGCTGCTTGAAAACTAAGTGACATCTTGACTTTATGTAAGTATCGCTGTGATGATGATTATGGATATACTCAGAACATGGAAAGGAAGATTGAATTTTAAGTTTATTTGTTTTGAAATACAATGTTTGCTCTAAGAAGTATGTAGGGTCAAATGACCTTGGAAGATTAGAATTGTGGATTATAGGCTTTCTACTGTTTATTTGGTTGTGCTATATGTGCGACATTATGAGTGACTATGAATATTGTTGTCCTCCTGTAAGTTCAATTAATAAAAAATGTTATCAAATATAATTGGAAACATGTTTATTGTATATAAACAGCTCCCTACTTCTGTAGCTGATATGTTACTAAAACCATGTTTGTAAAGTTGAATTTCAAAAGTCTACATATACCGTGTTTCCCCAAAAGTAAGACATCCCCCAAAATAAGACCTACTTACAGTTTGCCTCTCACTGAAATATAAGGCAGCCCCTGAAAATAAGACCTCCCCGAACATAAGGCCTTCCCAATAATAAGGCCCCCCGAAGCTACCTTAACTCTGGACCATAATGGTGGGCACTGCCTTGCAGCTCACTGTTGGCTGCAGCGCAGCCGGAGCAGACAGAAAGTGAGAGTAAATGTAACATAGATTATGAGTAAATGTACCATAGATTGTTGTACATGGAAATAATGGTAGTAACAAGAAATTCTTGATACTGTAGGGTTCACAGTTTGTCTGGTTATGCTGGTTTGTGATGACAACTACTACCGTACCGTATACAGGTAACGAATTTCCTTTTTTGTTGTTCAAAAATAAATGTGTACCGTATTCTTCTTCATGGAAAAATAAGATAACCCCTGAAAATAAGACCTAGCGCATCTTTGGGAGAAAAAATTAATATAAGACACTGTCTTATTTTCAGGGAAACAGGGTAGTAGACTAAGATATGATAATGGAAACACAGAGTCATGAGCAAGACTGGGTGTGGTTCCTTCTAGGACTCTACCAACCATCCATCACAGGGTCAGTGGGACTTTTGGAAAAAGTCATTGGTACAGCCTCTCAGAGAGCGCTCTGTTTCTCTGGAACTGAAAAAGTCAACTTGGGGATTTCTGCTTCCCTAATTTTCTGGCATTCTTTTAACTAGGTTAGGTTGATCAGCTGTCTACCATGTTTAATTGTCACCTCTATAATACAATACTTTTTATTTCCTTTGGCACTACTGCACAAGAAAGAGAGACAAGTTAGAGGACAGCTATCCTTGGAAGAGACCCTCTTGAGTTAGCTCCGTCTCACAATCCAATCCTGTCTGCACTGTAAAGGCACCACACCAACCCAGGGGAAAAACGGGGAAGGAAAAGTTGACTTTGGAAAGAAGCACAGAAATCATTCCTGCATGCGTATGCCCCACAAATGCACAGGGAGAGGATAATGGCCTGACTAAAGGTATCTTCCTTGTCAGAAGTAAGATGTTCCAGTCACTTGATCTTTACAGTATTCTTGCTATTAAAATCTCCAGTGTACAGATTACAAAACGGAGACAAGGAAGGGCTAATCAAATTGCTTGAGGACAATGGTGAAACCCAAATCTAAATCTAAAATTGTCTTTCTAAAAATATTGTCCAATTATATAATCCTAAGTGAACTGCTTTGTGGCATCTCTGCATTGCTGTATTTTAACAACTAAGTTTGTTCATGGAGTTGTCTTCATCTGCATTTATTAACAACAGGCAAATTTCCTTTAAATGTACATTAACTTTGTAGTTTTATCTGAATTAATAATGATTAGTCCAACAGACTCATTGTTGACCTCGAAATCCTAATGGTAACCACGCAAACATCAGTCGCCATGATTCTGAGACCAGAAGAATTAGATGGTGCCTGGCTACCACCACCAACTGCTCTGAAAGAGGTCATATTATAAAGTTATGGAATCCACTGGGATACAAATATGGAACAAGAATAAAAATACTTTTAAAAGACCAGGATGACTGGTCTTATAGAGAGTGATGGAACCCCCAAAACTATGATCCTTCATGTCTAGAAATGAGATCACATCATAGTTCAATTTACAGCCAAAAAATAGGTGGTACTGTTGAATGAGCCCTGGACTACATTTAAACTATGGTTTAAAATTACCAGGTGATTCTTGAGGGAAAGATAAGACTGTCATCTCTCATAGGCTTTCAAAGCTTATGAAACACAAGATAGGAGCCCTGGTGATTTAGTGGTTATGCGTTGGGCTGCAATCTGCGTGGTAGGCAGTTTGAAACGGCCAGCAGCTCTGAGGGAGAAAGACTGGGTTTTCTACTCCAGTAAACAGTCACAGTCTCAGAAATCCACAAGGCATCACGATGAGTCAGCATTGACTGCATGGCAGTGAGTTTGTTTTCTTTGCCCTGAGGAAGCACTCTATAGGGTTGCTCTGAGATAGAAACAAGTATAACATAGTACCAGAAGATGAGCCCATCATGTTGGAATCTACCAAAAATACTTTGAGCTGTCTCCTCAAAGTAGAGTTGGTCTTAATCATGAGAATGGAGCTTCGCTTTGGGGACCTTCATTTGCTGATGGGTAACAACTGAAGGTGACAAGAAACTTCTGCAAGCATTAATATTATTGAACAAATTCTATAAATAACCTGAATATAGAATGTAAAAAAATAGAAATCATTAGTAGTGAGATGCATAAAGATCAGTATCCTTGGCATTATTGAGTGAAATGGAATGAAATGACCATTTAGATCAGAAATTCAAATGGTTTACTATCCCAGAAATGACAAATTCAAGATGAATGGCATTAAATTCATCTCAAAATGAATGCTTCATGATCTTTCTTGAAGTACAATCCTGTGACAGGATAATATCTATACTCCTAAAATGAAGACTAGTTGATATGACAGTTTTTCAAGCTACATAGCAACAAGTAGGGCCAATTATGAATAAGAGAATTGGAGAATTATCAACTTCTTCACTCTAAATTGATCCAGCAATCAAGAATCATTGGAGATTATTGATGTAATTGGAATGCAAAAGTTGGAAATAAAGAGCATCGGGCCTGGTGACCCCTTTGGAGTGTGGTCTTATAAAAAGAGAGAGAGTGATGTTTCTTCTCCTGCTTGCCCCTCACTGCTTCCTGACTAGTCTGGCTCGGGGGTTGCCAGGCCAGAGCTGACCTGGTTTCTCTGACACACTGCTACGTTCCTGCAGACCTTGGACGCCTATGACTCTGTACCAATTTGCCTGTGATCTCCCACTTTTCTGCTTGGCCTTTCTGCTTTATCCACCAGCAGCTGCATGAGTTTGAGGAGGACTCTGGCTAGCATCTGACCCATGGATTCTAGTTGGATCAGGTTGAGACACTTTTTCATGTAAAACTGTTTCTTGATATAAAGTGCTTTCTTTTTTTTTAAACAAATGAAACACAGAAACTTTATTATAAACAAAAGTAACAAGGTAAAAATCCAACAGGCAATTTACTTATACTCAAAAAACCTAAGGAAATTATGTCTTAAACACCTTATAGTAATCTATTTGCAGTTACATTTAACTGAGCTTGGTTGCTGTGAAGAATACAGCACATGCACAGGTGTGGATGGAAGATTTGTACATTTTTCAAGTATTCACTGAATACTACACCATACATACACATAAACATTAAACTTGAAGATTTAAGTGAAAATCCCTATATAATCTTCACTTTTGTTGTTCTTTTGGAAGCGGTCGTCTAAAGAGAAGAATATGTGGTTCTGGCTCATGAATCATGTAATGTACCCAGCCTAGACTTTGTTGAACACCAAGTCTCATCCACTCCTCTTCGGACATCAGATGGGTTTAGGGTACTTGTTTGGAAAGTTCTCTGGGCAACATGACATGCCGGTACTCGTAATGTTCATCGAAGTACTTGTCCGAATAGTATATTTGCTTGTGAGCCATCTGGCCGGCGGCGCAGTGGGACAGGTCGGTAAGAAAGGCACAGAGCAGGAGCAGCAGCACGGAAGGGCCCGGCAGGTAACAGCCGATATAAAGTGCTTTCTTATACATATATGAATGTCCCTTGTTTGTTTCTCTAGAAAACTCAGCTTAACACAAACATAATAAATGAAGGAAGGAACAGGTCATTAAAGAGACAGGAAAGAAAAGACCAATAAATATGTCATCACTGATGAAACACATAAGTATCCTCTAGTTCTTTAAGATGTTCTCCCCTCACTATTTTGGTCCTTGTTCTACCTCATTAATCTTGTTGGACATGAGTATGGTCATTTGTACAGTTAAGATTATTTGATGCATGAAAGCCAAGATAAACAATAATAAACAATAAACCAAGATAAAAGCCAAGATAAACAGTAATAAACAATAAAAAGCCTTCATAAACAGTAATAAGAGTAATGATTCCCTGAGGGTATGGGAAGAGGGGGAGGAAAGGGAGGGGGTGGGATAACTGATAGTAACAAAGACTATATAATCCCATTTGAGGGGAATGAATAATAGAATTATAGGTGAGTGGATGTATTGTATGGTGTTAAACACACACAAAAAATAATAATATATAACATAACAACAAGGGTTCCTGCAGGGTAGGGCAGGGGAAAGAGGGGATAAAGCTGTTATCAATGAGTTCAAGAAGAAAGAAAATGCTTTGAAACTGATAGCGGCAGCAATTATACAATTATGCTTGATCTAATTTAAATAGTCACAACATCTTTAAGAGCTCACAATAAAATGACTAATTAAAATAAGTAAAATCAAATTAAAAAATTAATAAATCTGATAGAAGAGACATTGAAACTTGCTTTTAAAAATATCATAGCTAAAGCAAATGGAAGAAATGATAAAGTAAAAGAGCTTAACTGAAAATGTCAAACGGAAGCTATAGAAGAAAAAATAAAGCATTATAATGGAACATAAGACCTGGAGCTAGAAAACCAAAAGTAAAAAATAGCTCAGCCTATCAAGCTTAAAGAACTAACGTGAAAACTCAAGTCTGGAGTTGACTTTCTACTTCCATAAAGAGCTACATTTGTATAAGCCCAAGGAGAAATTCTACTCTATCCTATATATAAGGTGATTTTAGGTCAAAGGTCTTGGTATTTTTTCGTTCTGGGGGCAAAAATACTGAATGTTGCAGGAAGCATCAAAAGAAGATGGAAGGACTATATGCCATGTCCCTCCAAAAAAGCAAAATCACTGCCATCAAGCTGACGCTGACTCACAGTGACCCTATAGGACAGGGTAGAACTTCCTACGTAATTATTAATCTAGTTACTGATTCTATAGATTTACCTATCCTGGATTTCATTAACTGAAAA